AAAACAAAAGCAGCTACATTATAAAGTGATGTAAAATACTAAAAACAGGAACATGTTTGTTGGTTTATGCCATGAACTTAGCAGATGTTTGAAGCCATTTAACATTTTATTTTATTTTATTCATTTATTCATTCATTTAAAAGAAACAAAACAAATTCATCAGAAAGAAAACATTGAATGAAAAGAGTGCAGAGAGAAGAAAAATCTTATATCTGCCCCTTATTTAAAAATATAAAACAACTTTAAACAATCACTTAAATTAATCACTTTAATATTCACTTTAAAGCTAAGAATAAAAAAACATGTTTTGCGTTAGCAGAATATAATTCTAACTTTAAAACTTGTCCAACATTAATAAAACTTACCTCAAGTTGCCTTTTTGGACATGCATGCATATACTTGTACAAATTGTACTTGAGAGGAGATTATTACAGCCTCACATAAAATCAATGATGATCATGATATGGGAACTGGATCGGTATCGGGATCGGATCGGAAGTAAAAAAAAAGTGGATCGGTGCATCCCTAGTCTGAGTAGGGCCAAGACAGAAGCAGACTGCTGTAGACTTGAAGCAACTCTTCTTTCAGATGTCCCCTTCAGGGGTCTCCATAGAGAGTCATCCTCCATCTCTGTCCTCTGCATCTTCTCTCCTCACTACCTCCATGTCCTCTCTAACTGCATCCATAGATCTCCTCTTTGTCCTTTTTCCTGGCAGCTGCATTTCTAATATCCTTCTACCAATATACCCACTGTCTGTCCTCTGGACATGTCCAAACCACTGTCTCTCCTCTGGACATGTCCAAACCACTGTCTCTCCTCTGGACATGTCCAAACCATCTCAGTCTGACCTCTCTATCTTCATCACCCATTGTTCATCGTTCAACCTTAAAACAGCTCAATATTTTTCTTTTTCTCACAGTCCATGTAAAAACTAAAGTAAACTAATTTTACATTTTTTTATGGTGGCTATAAAACACAGACTTTTAAAATTTCAACTCGCATTACTAAGTTGGAGCAGTTTCACATCAAAAATCAAGTAAAGGCACTTTACAAAAATGTTAACAAGTCTAAATCATAAATTCAATTTAGATTCAAATCCAATTCAGATACAGTAAATGGACTCATATAGCACCTT